CTCAGCCCACTATAACCTCCACCTCCCAGGCTGAAGCAATTCTCCTGTCTCAACCTCCTAAGTATCTGGGACTACTAGGCGCATGCCAACACATCAGGCTAATTTTTGTATTTTTAACAGAGATGGAGTTTCATCATACTGGTAAGGCTGGTCTCAAACTCCTGACCTCAGGTAATCCACCTGCCTCGGTCTCCCAAAGTGTTGGGATTGTAGGTGTGAGCCACCGTGCCCAGCCTGCAGCTTACTTTATATGAAGACACTAAACCTGCCATTGTAAAACTGTAACTGAGATGGTAAAAGAGATCTGATCCACCCAACTCTACCTTGAATCTTTCTTCTAACCTCCAGGCTGTCGTTGTTCATTCCTGGGCATAGGCTGAACTAACTTTGAGAGGAATTTAGTTTATGGTTTACAGTTTAAAACAAAGATGGCAATAGTATTTTAGTTATTTTTTATGAATATTTTTTAAAACAACATATATAGGTCGGGCATGGTGGCTCACAACTGTAATGCCAGAACTTTGAGAGGCTGAGACGGGAGGATAACTTGGACCCAGGAGTTCTAGACCAGACTGAGCAATGCGGCAAGATCCCATTGCTACAAAAAAAAAAAAAGTTTTTGATTAAAAAATTAGCCAGACATGGGGGTGGGGGTGCACACCTCTAGTCCTAGCTACTCGGAAGGCAGAGGCAAGATGACTGCTTGAGTCCACAAGTTAGAAGCTGCAGTGAGCTATGATCATGCCACTGTACTCCAGCCTGGGTGACAAAATGAGACTTTGTCTCAAAGGAAAAAACATATATTTTGAAGCTTTTTATGGTAAAAAAAAAAAAATTGTCAGATATCTATTTTAAGATAAACTTACCAAACAATACGAGTAAAACTTTTGCTTAGTTCCTTTTTAAAATCTCTTTAAATGCATTAGTTCCTTTTCCTAGCTTAGGAAAAGACTTAAGGCCCAGTGACCTATGACAATAATTGAATATTTGCTTCATGGTACAGGTCCTTTTGGTATCTTAAAGCAATGATCTTATATAGCACCACGGATAAGCTGTAGAAAAAATCACAGATAAGGCGATCTATATACTAACCTGCGACTATCCTCTGAAAGTTTTTTTGGAAATGTAAGCATACTATTTACTGCTTATCCCTATCTCTGAAAAAAAGAATGCAGAAAAAAATTGCAACTATTAAACCCTTTAGTCAAGTTCTGATTACTCATTCATTGATTCAAAAATTGCTGTTGACAAGTCTGGCCAACATGGAGAAACCCCATCTCTACTAAAAATACAAAAATTAGCTGGGAATATTGGCAGGCACCTACAATCCTAGCTACTCGGGAGACTAAGGCAGGAGAATCACTTGAACCCGGGGCAGGGAGGTTGCAGTGAGCTGAGATTGCACCACTGCACTCAAGCCTGGCGACAGAATGACACTCCGTCTCAAAAAAAACAAAACCTGCAGTTGAGCCCCTATCATGTGCTCTGCATTACAGGTAGAACTGGGAATAGGCCGGGCGCGGTGGCTCAAGCCTGTAATCCCAGCACTTTGGGAGGCCGAGGTGGGTGGATCACAAGGTCAAGAGATCGAGACCATCCTGGTCAACATGGTGAAACCCCGTCTCTGCTAGAAATACAAAAAATTAGCTGGCCTTGGTGGCGTGTGCCTGTAATCTCAGCTATTCGGGAAGCTGAGGCAGGAGAATTGCCTGAACCCAGGAGGCGGAGGTTGCAGTGAGCCGAGATCGCGCCATTGCACTCCAGCCTGGGTAACAAGAGTGAAACTCTGTCTCAAAAAAAAAAAAAAAGACAAAAGTAATTCCAACCTACATATGCTGTATGCCTTTCTGCTTAAACTATCTATGTTTTTAAGTTTAAATTGCCTATGAAAATAAACACTTCTGGCCAGGCATGGTGGCTCATGCCTGTAATCCCAACACTTTTAGAAGCCAAGGCAGGCCAATCACATGAGGCCAGGAGTTTGAGACCAGCCTAGCCAACATGGCAAACCCCCATCTCTACGAGAAACACAAAAGAATTAGCCAGGTGTGGGTGGTTAGTGCACTTGGTGTTGTCTTGCCTAAAACCCTCTTTGCCAGTAGCTATGTGGTTCACTCCCTTACCTCATGCAGGTCTCTACTCAAATGTCACCATACGGGTAGAGCATTCCTTCACCTACCAGTATAAAATAGCTTATCTTCCCTTGCCGACTATCAGACTCCATTATCAAAACAAAACAAAAGTGCTTATTTGTTTACTAGCTATCACTCTAACCTAGAGCATAAGTGTTCTAGAGAACACAGATGGGTTTTTGTCACCCCTGTATTCCAGACTATGAGACTACTGTCTGAAAGATCATGGGTTTGCAGTAAATATTTGGTAGTTAAATGAGTAAAAACTTAAAATATTATGAATTTTTCTGATGTAAACTATTAACGTAACATTTTATGGGCCCCTTTTCTATATTGCATCCCTAATTAAGAGTTAAGTATTTATATATAAAACTAATACAATGACTTTTTCCCTATAGCCTAAACATACACATACATGCAAATGGTTCACTGGTAATCAAAGACTTTATGCCACTCTTTTCCATCCCTTGGTTTAGTGCCTCTGAATATATGGAAGACATACCTTGAGCTCCTGTGTTATTATCTTTTTCTTAAATATATATTTTATTGCATTTTAGATTTTGGGGTACATGTGAAAAAGATGCAAGATTGTTGCATAGGTACATACATGGCAGTGTGGTTTGCTGCCTTCCTCCCCATCACCTATATCTGACATTTCTCCCCATGTTATCCCTCCCCAACTCCCCACCCCCCACTTTCCCTCCCCTAGTTACCCCCCAACAGACCCCAATGTGTGATGCTCCCCTCTCTGTGTCCATGTGTTCTCATTGTTCAACACCCGCCTATGAGTGAGAACATGCGGTGTTTGATTTTCTGTTCTTGTGTCAGTTTGCTGAAAATGATGGTCTCCAGGTTCATCCATGTCCCTACAAAGGACACGAACTCATCGTTTTTTTATGGCTGCACAGTATTCCATGGTGTATATGTGCCACATTTTCCCTGTCCAATCTATCATTGATGGGCATTTGGGTTGGTTCCAAGTCTTTGCTATTGTAAACAGTGCTGCACTAAACATTCGTGTCCATGTGTCCTTATAATAGAACGTTTATAGTCCTTTGGATATATACCCAGTAATGGGGTTGCTGGGTCAATTGGAATTTCTATTTCTAGGTCCTTGAGGAATCTCCACACTGTCTTCCGCAATGGTTGAACTAATTTACTTTCCCAAAGACAGTGTAAAAGTGTTCCTATTTCTCCACGTCCTCTCCAACATCTGTTGTCTCCAGATTTTTTAATGATCGCCATTCTAACTGGCGTGAGATGGTATTTCAATGTAGTTTTGATTTGCATTTCTCTAATGACCAGTGATGATGAGCATTTTTTCATGTTTGTTGGCTTCGTATATGTCTTCTTTTGAAAAGTGTCTGTTCATATCCTTTGCCCACTTTTGAATGGGTTTGTTTTTTTCTTGTAAATCTGTTTTAGTTTTTGTGGATTCTGGATATAAGTCCTTTGTCAGATGGGCAAATTACAAAAATTTTTTCTCATTCCGTTGGTTTCTCATTCACTCTAATGACTGTTTCTTTTGCTGTGCAGAAGCTCTGGAGTTTAATTAGATCCCATTTGTCCATTTTGGCTTTTGTTGCCAATGCTTTTGGTGTTTTAGTCATGAAGTCCTTGCCTATGCCTATGTCCTGAATGGTTTTGCCTAGGTTTTCTTCTAGGGTTTTTATGGTGTTAGGTCTTATGTTTAAGTCTTTAATCCATCTGGAGTTAATTTTAGTGTAAGGTGTCAGGAAGGCTACCAGTTTCTGCTTTCTGCACATGGATACCCAGTTTTCCCAACACCATTTATCAAACAGGGAATCCTTTCCCCATTGCTTGTTTTTGTCCAGTTTGTCAAAGATCAGATGGTTGTAGATGTTTGGCGTTGCCTCCAAGGCCACTGTTGTGTTCCATTGGTCTATATCTCTGTTTTGGTACCAGTACCATGCTGTTTTGATTACTGTAGACTTGTAGTATAGTTCGAAGTCAGGTAGTGTGATGCTTCCAGCTTTGTTCTTTTTGCTTATAATTGACTTGGCTATGCGGGCTCTCTTTTGCTTCAATATGAAATTTAAGGTATTTTTTCCAGTTCTGTGAAACAGGTCATTGGTAGCTTGATAGAGATAGCATTGAATCTGTAAATTACTTTGGCAGTATGGCCATTTTCACAATATTGATCCTTCCTAACCATGAGCATGGAATGTTTCTCCATCTCTTTGTGTCCTCTCTTATTTCGTTGAGCAGTGAAAGCCAATTAACATTTCAACTGCAAGCCGGGAGCAATGGCTCACGCCTGTAATCCCAGCAGTTTGGGAGGCCAAGGTGGGTGGATCACCTGAGGTCAGGATTTAGAGACCAGACTGGTCAACATGGTGAAACCCTGTCTCCACTAAAAATATAAAAATTAGCCAGGCGTGGTGGTGGGCACCTGTAATCCCAGCTACTCAGGAGGCTAAGGCAGAAGAATTCTTTGAACTTAGGAGGCAGAGGTTACAGTGAGCCAAGATCGCGCTACTGCACTCCAGCCTGGGCAAAGGAGTAAGACTCGGTCTCAAAAAAAAAAAAAAAAGTTTTTTGAACTGTAAATTCACCTTTGCAAAAGTTAATAACAGCACTTTGTAAACATTTCTAAAACATCAACATAAAAATTAGCAAAACTGTAGGCAGACAATTCAAAGAAGAAATGTAAATAGCCAATAAATTTATGAAAATGTTCATTTAGGTTAATGTTCCTTAATAATGTTAAGCACCATAAACAGCCTGCGAGAAAGGAAACAAGAATAACTTCCAAAAAAACGAAGCCAGCAAGAGGTTCCTTACAGCAATAAGAAAACACAGAAACTGCCAAACCTTTTAACTGACAAGGTTGTGGGGTTGAATTACCTGTGATGGAACAATAGATGATGTGAGGAGCAATCTTGTCTATATCTTGATATCCCAGGCCCATTGCAGACAGTTTGCCAGGGAGATAGTTTTCCACAAACACGTCACAAACAGCTGCAAGCTGAAGGAAGAGATGAACATGAGCCAGACTTCCACTGAACAAATCCCCACATAATGGAATTTTAACTTCTACACAATTGATTCTCCCTTTGTAATAGCCCAGAAAAATTGAAGGACAGATGAAGTAAATTAGATAAACACAGAAGCTCTGGTCAACTACTTAAATAAAGTATTACTGTCAGCAAAATAATAGTTATTAAAGTTTTTGTAAGTACATGGTATTCAATGGATTCTGCATCCTTTAAATGTAATAATTATCTAGACTAGACTACATGGTCTGTCCAAATAGAGTCTCAAAACATTAGGTAGAAAAATTAGAATGTAAGTACATTAAAATATATAAAAAACATCTTTTAAAATCTTTACAAAAACACTAAATAGGCCAGGTATAGTTGCTCACTCCTCTAATCTCAGCACTTTTGGAGGCCAAGGCAGGTGAATTGCTTGAGCCCAGGAGTACAAGATCAGGAGTTGAAGACCAGCCTGGGCAACATGGCAAAATCCCATCTCTACAAAAATTAACCAGACATGGTGGTGCACACCTATGGCCCCAGCTACTTGGGAGGCTCAGGTGGAAAGATCACTTGAGCTGGTAAGTTGAGGCTGCGATGAGCCGTGATGGCACCAATACACTCCAGGCTGGGAGATTGTTAGATCTTGTCTTAAAAAAGATCTAAATACAATGTCTTCACTACTCTGCATCCCTATTACTGTGTAATATTCCTCATTATAACATGCACTTAACACGTGCAGGCAGGATTCTGATTTTCACCCCTTTCAGATGCATTCTTCCCAAAGCGTTTTAAATGTATTAATGAACCACTGGAGTTTGTTGTTGTTGTTATGTGTTTATTTGTTTGTTTTACTTCAGGCTACTAAACTATAGCCCAGGAAGCCAGGAGCTGTCAAAAACAAAATCCACATTGTGATGCCCAGAGCATTGCTATAGGAATTAGAGGACAATGTAGCATTGTAAACCTTAATTTTAATTTTTTTCCCAAAATTTCAATTGTAACTACACACTTAAAAATGTTTTTAAGGCCAGGCATGGTGGTTCATGCTTGAATCCCAGCACTTTGGGAGGCCGAGGCAGGTGGATCACCTGAGGTCAGGAGATCGAGACCACCCTGGTCAACATGGTGAAACCCTGTTTCTAGTACAAATACAAAAATTAGCCTCTTGTGGTGACGGGCACCTGTAATCCCAGCTACTTGGGAGACTGAGGCAGGAGAATCACTTGAACCTGGAAGGCAGAGGTTGCATGAGCCGAGATCGTGCCATTGCACTCCAGCCTAGGCAACAAGAGCAAAACTCCATCTAAAAAAAGACAAGCTTTTAAAGGACCAGACACAGTAGCTCATACCTGTAGTCCCAGCACACTGGGAGGCCGAGGCAGGCAGATTATTTGAGGTCAGGAGTTGAAGACAAGCCTGGCTAACATGGTGAAACCCTGTCTTTACTAAAAAGAAAAAGAAAATAAGCCAGGTGTGATGGCACACACCTGTAATCCCAGCTACTCGGGAGGCTGAGGCACAAAAATCACTTGAACCCAGGAGGCAGTGGTGGCATGATGGCACCACTGCACTCCAGCCTGGGTGACAGAGTGAGACCCTATCTCAAAGAAGAAAAAAAAATCTTTTTAAAAGAACGGGGCACAGTGGCTTATGCCTGTAATCCCAGCACTTTAGGAGGCCAAGGCGGGCGAATCACTTGAGGTCAGGAGTTCAAAGACAGGCTGGCCAATATGGTGAAACCCCATCTCTACTAAAACTACAAAAAAAATTAGTCAGGGTTTGGCTCAATGCAACCTCTGCCTCGCAGATTTAAACAACTCTGGGCCTCAGCCTCCCTAGTAGCTGAAATTACAGGCTCATGACACCACACCCGGCTGATTTTTTGTATTTTTAGTAGAGACGGGTTTCACCATCTTGGCCGGGCTGGTTTTGAATTCCTGACCTTGTGATCCACCCGCCTCGGCCTCCCAAAGTGCTGGGATCACAGGTGTGAGCCACCATGCCCGGCCCACTACATTTCTATCAGGGCTACTCAATAGGGCAGTGTTAGTGGGATTCATAACTCTTGCTACTAAGGCATTGGTATACCTATGGATAATTTAGGGCTAGATTTATAATTCTGAGCAAAATAAATGAATTGCTGTTACTTCCTTCCTACTCTGTCCTTTATCAATTTGTAACAATTTGAAATTATGTTCGATTCTAGGCTTGACTTCTCTTCAAGTCTGATTTGTAAATATTTTTAAAAATTTTAAGTACATTTGGCCTCCCAAAGTGCTCGGATTACAGGCTTGAGCCACCGCGCCCAGCCACTTTTGTGTTTTTAGTAGGCAAGGGGTTTCACCATATTGGCCAGGCTGGTCTAAACCTCCTGGCCTTAATCGATCTGCCCGCCTCAGCCACCCAAAATGCTGGGATTACAGGCGTGAACCATCATGGCCATCCAATTGCTTTTAGGTAGTTATATAATTCATAAGTTATGTATCTTACTATCTAAAGGAAAACTATTTATTCCCTAGTCATTAGGACTTCTGGTACAGATTTCTCTTCTGGCCTTAAGAGTAGCAAAAAGAAACCCTGTAAAGATTTTTAAAAATGTTTTTTATATATTTAATGTACTTACATTCTAATTTTTCTACCTAATGTTTTGAGACTCTATTTGGACAGACCATGTAGTCTAGTCTAGATAATTATTACATTTAAAGGATGCAGAATCCATTGAATACCATGTACTTAAAAAAACTTTAATAACCATTATTTTGCTGACAGTATACTTTAAGTAGTTGACCAGAGCTTCTAGGTTTATCTAATTTACTTCATAGCAAAGACCTGGAATCAACCCAAATGCCCATTGATAATAGACTGGATTGGAAAAATGTGGCACATATACACCATGGAATATTATGCAGCAATCAGAAATGATGAGTTTGTGTCGTTTGTAGGGACATGGATGAATCTGGAGAACATCATCCTCAGCAAACTGACACAAGAACAGAAAATGAAACACCGCATATTCTCACTCATAGGCGTGTGATGAAAAATGAGAACACATGGACACAGAAAGGGGAGTACTAAACACTGGGGTCTATTGGGGGGAAATGGGGAGGGCCAGTGGGAGGGGGAGGTGGGGAGGGATAGCCTGGGGAGAAATGCCAAATGTGGGTGAAGGGGAGAAGGAAAGCAAAGCACACTGTCATGTGTGTACCTACGCAACTGTCTTGCATGCTCTGCTCATGTACCCCAAAACCTAAAATCCAATAAAAAATTTTAAAAAAAAAATTTACTTCATCTGTCCTTCAATTTTTCTGGGCTATTACAAAGGGAGAATCAATTGTGCAGAAGTTAAAATTCCATTATGTGGGGATTTGTTTAGTGGAAGTCTGGCTCATGTTCATCTCTTCCTTCAGCTTGCAGCTGTTTGTGATGTGTTTGTGGAAAACTATCTCCCTGGCAAACTGTCTGCAATGGGCCTGGGATGTGAAGATATAGACAAGATTGCTCCTCACATCATCTATTGTTCCAACACAGGCAATTCAACCCCATACCCTTGTCAGTTAAAAGGTTTTGCAGTTTCTGTGTTTTCTTATTGCTGTAAGGAACCTCTTGCTGGCTTCGGGTTTTTTTGAGTTATTCTGGTTTCCTTTCTCAGGAAAGTAAGTCAGGGCGGTGGCTCATACCTGTAATCCCAGCACTTTGGGAAGCTGAGGTAGGTGAATCACTTGAGGTCAGGAGTTCCAGACCAGCCTGTCCAACATGGTGAAACCATGTCTCTACTAAAATACAAAAAAAAATTAGCCAGGCATTGTGGCATATGCCTGCAATCCCAGCTACTCAGAAGGCTGAGGCAGAATTGCTTGAACCTGGGAGGTGGACGTTGCAGTGAGCCAAGATTGCACTGCACTCCAGCTTGCGCAACGAAGCAAGACTCCACCTCAAAAAAAAATCACAATAATTGGCTGGGCACAGTGGCTCATGCCTGTAATCCCAACACTTTGGGAGGGTGAGGAGGGCAGATAACTTGAGGTCTGGAGTTTGAGACAAGCCTGGACAACATAGCAAGGGACAACATACAAAAAATTTAAAAGTTAGCCAAGCATGGTGGCACATGCCTATAGTTCCAGCTACACAAGAGGCTGAAGCAAGAGGATTGCTTGAGCCCAGAAGGTGGAGGCTGCAGTGAGCCAACTTCATGCTACTGCACTCCAGCCTGGGCAACAGAGTGACAGTGTCTCAGAAAAACAAAAACACTCCTACAATCTCTAAGGAAAAGAAACTGCATGCCAGATAGCGAAATGCTAATATTGTTTCATCCAAGCATAGGATAAATGAGAGTTCATTATCCTTTCAACTTTTCTGAATGTTTTAATTTTTTATAACAAAATGTTACAGGAAAATGAAACTTGTGCATTGCTCTGCTGACGATAACACATGCCCATAATAATAATATTGTGACTGTCAACTAATTAACATAGAAAATTGTCTAAAATATTGGATAACACATGATGAAGAGTTATCGAATCATATTGCCACAATAATACTAACTTCCATTTAGATTTTCTAAGCAGAGTTTTGGTTTTCACACAACCTGTTTTTGTTTAGCCTAGTTGACAAAGGAGTCATACTTTTTGAAGCTCTCACATATCCAGCTGATTGCCTTGTATAATACTTTGGAAATGTTTCTATAAACTAGACTCATTATATTAGCAATCATGGCCACCAAGGCCTAAATAGAGAGGGGTTTTTTTGCTACTCTTAAAGTCAGAAGAGAAATCTACACGAGAAACACAAAAGACTAGGGAAAAAATAATTTTCCTTTAGATAGTAAGATACATAACTTATGAATTGTGTAACTACCTAAAAGCAATTGGATAGCCATGGTGGTTCACACCTGTAATCCCAGCATTTTGGGTGGCCAAGGCGGGCAGATCGATTAAGGCCAGGAGGTTGACACCAGCCTCGCCAATATGGTGAAACTCCTTGCCTACTAAAAATACAAAAGTTAGCCAGGTGTGGTAGTGCACACCCAATCCCAGCTACTCAGGAGGCTGAGGCAGGACAATCACTTGAACTCAGGAGGTAGAGACTGCAGTGAGCTGAGATTGTGCCACTGCACTCCAGCCTGGGTGGCAGAGTGAAACTGTATCCAAAAAATAAAATAAAACAAAATGAACAAAAAATAAAAGCAATAGACATAAATAATGTCCCCAAACAACCTATTTATATTTAATAAGTTTAAATGTACTTAAAATTTTTAAAAATATTTACAAATCAGACTTGAAGAGAAGTCAAGCCTAGAATGAAACATAATTTCAAATTGTTACAAACTGATAAAGGACAGAGTAGGAAGGAAGTAACAACAATTCATTTATTTTGCTCAGAATTATAAATCTAGCCCTAAATTATCCATAGGTATACCAATGCCTTAGTAGCAAGAATTACGAATCTCACTAACACTGCCCTATTGAGAAGCCCTGATAGAAATGTAGTGGGCCAGGCAATGGTGACTCACACCTGTGATCCCAGCACTTTGGGAGGCCGAGACGGGTAGATCACAAGGTCAGGAATTCAAGACCAGCCTGGCCAAGATGGTGAAACCTGTCTCTACTAAAAATACAAAAAAATCAGCCGAGCGTGGTGTCATGAGCCTGTAATCCCGGCTACTAGGGAGGCTGAGGCAGAGAATTGTTTAAACCTGCAAGGTGGAGGTTGCAGTGAGCCAAGATCGCACCACTGCACTCCAGCCTGGGCAACAGAGTGAGACTCCATCTCAAAAAAAAAGAAAGAAAGAAATGTGAAGTAAAGAACCAAGACTATGAACACTGAAGATGGAACCAAGAAACACAAGACACAAAGAGAAGTATTAAAGGTAGAACAAGCTCCCAGATTAAAAAATAATAGTAACAATAACTAATGAGGAGAAGATTTTTTTAAAGGGGGCCTGAAAATAAAGACAATGAGAGTTGGCTCCAAGGTGAGGGTAGTCACTGTAGGAAAACAGAGGAGGTCAACAAGAGTAGAGAACAATTTAGAAAAATCAAACCGAGTTTCAAAAGAAAAACAAAAATGAACAAACCTAAATTATGCTACAGGAAAGATATGGAAAACCAAGGTGGTAAAATCAGGATGATTTTCAAGCTTTGGGTTCAAAATATATGTAGTAAATGAAAATTCTAAATTGGCTGCATTGATCCAGCAGAACCAAAAAAAGGATGGTCCCTGATTCTGTTCTTAATAATTGAAGATTATCTTTCATTGACCAAGATAGAGAACTGAAAGCAGCAGCAGAGCAATTGAAAGCTAAGTTGATGCTTTGGTAAAATGTAAAGTTTGAGGCCGGGCACAGTGGCTCACACCTGTAATCCCAGCACTTTGGGAGGCTAAGGCAGGTGATCAACTGACGTTAGGAGTTCAAGACCAGCCTGACCAATATGGTGAAACCCCATCTCTACTAAACATACAAAAATCAGCCAGGTGTGGTGGCATGTGCCTGTAGTCCTAGCTACTTGGGAGGCTGAGACAGGAGAATCTCTTGAACCCAGGAGGCAGAGGTTGCAGTGAGCTGAGATCTTGTCACTGCACTCCAGCCTGGGTAATAGAGCAAGACTCTGTCTCAAAATACATACATACATACGTAAGTAAATACAAAATAAAGTTTGAGACTTGGTTCTCTAACCAAATAGTCATAAATTGTTCATAATTGGCCCTTGAACAACAGGGGTTTGAACTGTGCAAGTCCACCCCAGGAGGAACCAAACATGGATGGAAAATACAGTATTCACTGGATGCAAAACCCATGTACACTGAGAGCCAATTTTTTGTATAAGTAGGTTCCATAGGGCCGACTGTGGGACTTGAATATTCACAGATTTTGGTATATGTGGTGATTCTAGTAGAACCAATCCCCCAAATACAGAAAAATACTGTACAGATATTAGATTCAACTGTAAACCTTAACTAGTATGGCAAACAAGTTTTATCCCACATGATGAATCCAACATCAGGAGCACAGAAAATAACAACAGCTAAAACATAATGAGTGCTGACTGTGGCAAGCACTCATCTACACATTTTATACAGACTAACTCAATTCTAACAACAATCTTAGTAGGAACTATTAGGCTGGGTGCAGTGGCTCACACCTGTAAATCCTAGCACTTTGGGAAGCTAAGGTAGGCAGATCACTTGAGGTCAGGAGTTCGAGACCAGCCTGGCCAACATGATGAAACCCCATCTCTACTAAAAATACAAAAATTAGCCAGGCATGGTGGTGCATGCCTGTAATCCTAGCTACTCTGGAGGCTGAGGCAAGATAATTGGTTGAACCCAGGAGAGGAAGGTTGCACTGAGCCAAATCATGCCATTGCCCTACAGCCTGGGCAACAGAGAGAGACTCTGTATCAAAAAAAAAATGGCTGGGCACAGTGGCTCACGCCTGTAATCCCAGCACTTTGGGAGGCTGAGGCAGGTGGATCACCTGAGGTTGGAAGTTCAAGACCAGCCTGGCCAACATGGTGAAACCCTATCTCTACTAAAAATACACAACTTAGCTGGGCATGATAGCACACACCTCTAATCCCAGCTACTTGGGAGGCTGAAGCAGGAAAATCACTTGAACCTGGGAGACAGAGGTTACAGTGAGCTGAGATTGTGCCACTGCACTCCAGCCTGGGCAACAGAGTGAGACTCTGTCTCAAAAAAAAGAAAGAAAGAAAGAAAGTGGTTATTATTACTGCCTCCAGTTTACTAATGAAGAAACTGAAGCACAAATAAATTATATAACTTGTCTAGGGTCATATAGTAGTACAGTAAGTACCGAAGGCAGGATTCAAATCACATGTAAAGGTATCCAACCTTAATTCAACCACTGTGCCTTCCAGCTACTCAAAGAAAGATGCTGAGATAGGTTTGGATATATTGGCTGTCGGAGTAAGGGCTATAGAAAGATTGGACTCTCCAGTGATGTGACCCACATCCGAATGTCAGCTTTTCCCCATATTAGCTGGGTAATCTTGGAGCATCACTTAGGCCCCAGGAAACTCAATTCCCTTTTATATAAATGAGATTTCAATTCTTCATTTACAAGGTAAATTCTGAGGATTAGAGGAGACAATGTAAGCAAAGGGTCCAAGCCCAGGATTTGATGTAGAGTAGGCACTCAGTCAATAGGAGCCAGCACCATAATCACACAAAATATACAAGAAATTTAAAGCACACTACACTTATAAAGAAGTATACAAATCAAGATAAATACTTAAAAGGTATTTATTGCAAATGTACAGCTCATCCATAAAATTAAGTTTTAAAATACTTTTGCTCTGATGTTCCAATCCCTAATTATAACCTAGGTGGTGGGATGGCTTCTATATAGCATACTATACCTCTTTGATGATTTTCGCCCCTTTCGGATCCTTGATATTAACAGCAATGCTCTAAAAATTAAAATATATATCTATTATTTTGGTGACCGGTACATAAGAAGCCCAAGCCCCACCATTATGCAGTGGCAAACATGCACATGTAACTCCTGAATCTAAAATAAAAAGTAAAAAATAATAATAATAATAAGTATATTAAAATGCTATTATAAAAGTTTTTCTCTTTTTTTTTTTTCAGACAGAGTCTTGCTCTGTCACCCAGGCTGGAATGCAGTGGCACAATCTTGGCTAACTACAACCTCTGCCTTCAGGGTTCAAGCGATTCTCCTTCCTCAGCCTCCCCGGTAGCTGGAATTACAGGCACCCACCACCACGCCCGGCTAATTTTTGTATTTTTAGTAGAGATGGGGTTTTGGAGTTTCACCATATTGGCCAAGCTGGTCTCAAACTCCTGACCTCAGGCAATCCACCTGCCTCAGCCTCCAAAACTGGTAGGATTACAGGTATGAGCCCCTGAGCCTGGTCGTAAAAGTTCTTATTGCTGACAAGAAAGCCATTCATATCGTAGATCTTCTTAAATTTAGTTTATGCATGAGGAAATATTTAAATCATCTTACTGATTCTATTTATCATGAGGATATATGCTAACAAGGATTATAGGAGAAGTTTTTAATTATAATACCGAGTGTTAGACAATTATTCCCCAAAAGAATAACAAATGTAAGCCATCAAATGATTTTTCTCTTTCATAAAATTATTTCCATTATAAATTCTTATGAAATGTTCCATGTTACTTGGTAGATAAGAAAGAGTAGTAAAAAGCTCATTGTTTCTATTCGGTGAATGGTAAATGAAGGGAAGTTTAATTTATTTGAAATGTTAGTTACAGCTTTAAAAAAATAAAATAAAAGGAAGAAAAAACAAGCCACAATGATATCATCAGTTTTGCTGTTACAAGAGAATTACATAAAAAAAGCAAAAAAGGGAATGATAGTCTTACTTTTTTATTTCGGTTAACACTGAGATAATATGTACTTTCTGTTCCCACGAAAGGTGGCCCCCAAGTTCGTGTATCATCACCAGCTCCTGAAAATAATAATATGAGCTATTAATCTGTGGGGGGTAGGTTTTTAGATAGACTCTCGCTCTGTTGCCTAGGCTGGAGTGCAAAGGTGCGATCTCTGCTCACTGCAAACTCCACCTCCTAGGTCCAGGTAATTCTCCTGCCTCCAGCCACCCCAGTAGCAGGGATTACAGGGGTGCACCACTACGCCTGGCTAATTTGTGTATTTTTAGTAGAGACAGAGTTTCACCACGTTGGCCAGCTGGTCTCGAACTTCTGGCCTCAAGCAATCCACCCACTTCAGATTCCCAAAATGCTGAAATTACAGGTGTGGGATTACAAATCTAACACCATAAAAGATGGGGTATTTTATGATGGATATCTACTTCAAATAATTCTGAACTGCATTCATGTCTGATTCAAAGACAACACTACAGAATTACAGAAAAAATGTTCTCTTTACACAAAAAGCAACTATAGAAAGTACAGATAAAACTAATTATTACATAGGTAATTATTTATCACTAGACCTCCAAAAAGAGAGAATTTGTGAATGTGGGATAAAGTTTTAAATCCAAATCATTTAAATGACATAACCAATTTATTAGCCATTAGACTTTACCCATTAAAATTGAACAAGAAAAACAGACTTCTTTTTCTTTTGAAAGAAAAAAAGCAAAAGCAACTCATTTACTTAAAACGCACACACAGGCTGGGTGCAGTGGCTCACGCCTATAATCCCAGCACTTTGGGAGGCCGAGTCGGGTGGATCATGAGGTCAAGAGATAGAGACCATCCTGGTCAAAACAGTAAAACCCTGTCTCTACTAAAAATACAAAAAAAAATTAGCTGGGCATGGTGGTGCGTGCCTGTAGTCCCAGCTACTCGGGAGGCTGAAGCAGGAGAATTGTTGAACCCAGGAGAAGGAGGCTGCGGTGAGCTGAGATCATGCCATTACACTCTAGCCTGGGTAACAAGAGTGTTCCCTCTCAAGAAAAATAAAATAAAATAAAACACACACACACACACAAGGCAGACATAATTCACAGGATAGAAGATAAAAGAAGCTCCATAGGCCAGGTGTGGTGGCTCACCCACATCTGTAATATCAGCACTTTGGGAGGCTGAGGTTGAAGGATCATTTGAGCCCAGGAGTTCAAGACCAGCCTGGGCAACATAGGAAGACTCCATTTTTACCAAAAAAAAAATTAATAAGGCCAGGCGCAGTGGCTCACAGACAGACGTGAGACTCTGTCTCAAAAAGAAAAAAAAAAAATTAGCCAGACACAAGTTGCACACAACTATGGTCCCAGCTAAGGCAGGAAGATTGCTTGAGCCTGGGAGGTCATGGCTACAATAAGTCATGATTACACGATGGCATCCAGCCTGGATAACAGGAGCTCTGTCTCAGAAAAATAAAATAAAATAAAGCAAGCTGTTTATAGGATGATGTAGCCGACATTTAAAAACATGGACTGTGCCCTTTAAGTGCTTATTAGAGAGAAAGGGCACATAACAATGACACTTTCCTTTCTGAGATGGAGTTTGGCTCTTGTTGCCCAGGCTGGGGTATAATGATGTGGTCTCAGCTCACTGCAACCTCTGCCTCCCAGGTTCAAGCAATTCTCCTGCCTCAGCCTCTCAAGTAGTTAGGATTATAGGTGTCCACCACCACGCCCCACTAATTTTTGTACTTTCAGTAGAGATGGGGTTTCACTGTGTTGGCCAGGTTGGTCTTGAACTTCTGACCTCAGGTGATCTGCCCACCTTGGCCTCCCAAAATGTTGGGACTACAGGCATAAGTCACCACACCTGACCAACAATGCTTTTCTAAGCAACTTTTTCAGTAACAGCTTGAACTAAATACCAAAATGCTAAGATGATACCAAATAAAAGTGGGAATTTTGTACACAGAATATATTTATTTGGTGAACAAAGAAGGAAGAAAGAATAGGAAAGATGTCACAGGAAAAACATATAAGCAAAAAATTGATCTAAGCTTAGGTGTTTCTCCCTGCAAAATCTTTAAAATTATAAAATGGGGAAATGTTTCTTTTATGGCCAGGAGTAGTAGGTCACACCTGTAATGCCAGCATTCTGAAAGGGTGAGACAGGAGTTCAAGACTAACCCAAATAACATAGCAAGACCCTGTCTCTACAAAAAAAAAAAAAAAAAGTTTTATTATTATAGCTGGGCATGACATGCCTGAAGTCCCAGCTATTCGGGAAGCTGAGGTGGGAGAATTGCTCAAGCCCAGTGGTTGGCGGCTACGGTGAGCTATGATCACACCACTGCACTCCAGCCTGGGTGACAGAGTGAAAAAATAAAAACAAACAACAAAAATAGAAAAGAATAACTTAGGTTGGAGTATTTGGGATTTTTTTCTGTTTGTTTGCTTTTGGACATGGTCTCACTCTGTCACGCAGGCTTGAGTGCAGTGGCACGATCTCAGCTCACTGAAACCTCCACCTCCCAAGTTCAAGCAATTCTCCTGCCTCAGTTTCCCAAGTAGCTGGGACTACAGGTGTCTGCCACCACACCTGCCTCATTTTTGTATTTTTAGTAAAGATGGGGTTTCGCCATGTTGGCCAGGCTGGTCTCAAACTCCTGATCTTAAATTATCTGCCTGCCTTGGCCTCCTAAAGTGCTAGGATTACAGGCATGAGCTGCCACACCTGGCCTTGGGTTCTTTTTTGCAGGAATTTGATTTTTTTCCTTCTCTCCTGCTTCTGTACCCTATTTCTTCACTTTTATCCTCCTTTCTCCTGGCCTTCTCTTTATCCCACAGTGAGGGAGGGTGGTCAGGCCCAGGTTAATATCAGCCTCAATGGTAAAGCGAGGCGGGGGCTAAGGAAGGCCAGGATCAGGGCTAAGGGTCTGAATATTCCTTATTGGTTGTGTGCCTCTAAATAAGTTGCTTTACATCTCTGTGCCTCCATTTTCTGCTTTATAAATTATGAATAATACCGTCAGCCCATAGGGTTGTTGCAAAGATGAAACAAGCACAAGCAAAGCATTGAGAACTATGCCTGGCACTGTAGGTGTTGTTATCATCGTTATATGCTGTATCTCCACTTCTTTTTTTTTTTTTTTGAAACAGAGTCTTGCTCTGTTGCCCAGATTAGAGTACACTGGCGCAATCTCAGCTCACTGCAACCTTACCTCCCGGGTTCAAGTGATTCTCCTGCCTCAGCCTCCTAAGTAGCTGGGATTACAGGTGTCCACCAAACATGCCTGCCTAATTTTTTTTTGCATTTTTAGTAGAGACGAGGTTTCACCATATTGGCCAGGCTGGTCTTGAACTCCTGACCTCAAATAATCATCACTCCTTGGCCTCCCAAAGTGGTGGGATTACAGGTGTGAACCACTGCACCTGGCCTCAGCTTCTAACAAAAGCCCTGAGGTATGAAGAAGAAAATGGTTTGACCCTTAGCACTTAGCACACATAAAGAGTAAAAAGAGATCATTGGCTGGGCGCAGTGGCTGAAGCCTGTAATCCCAGCACTTTGGGAGGCCGAGGCGGGTGGATCACGAGGTCAAGAGATCGAGACCATCCTGGTCAACATGGTGAAACCCCGTATCTACTCAAAATACAAAAAAAAAAAATTAAATGGGCATGGTGGCGCATGCCTGTAATCCCAGCTACTCGGGAGGCTGAGGCAGGAGAATTGCCTGAACCCAGGAGATGGAGGTTGCGGTGAGCCGAGATCGCGCCATTGCACTCCAGCCTGGGTCACAAGAGCGAAACTCCGTCTCAAAAAAAAAAGAGATCATTAGTGTTAGTTCACAGGAAAACAAAAAAGGGAGAAGAAAAAGATAATCCTTTCATCTTGATTCTCTCCTTATCCCACCTACAGGTACACTAAACCTGGGTACTTAGAGAATTATTTTAAAATATTTATTAGCTTGTTTCTAATTTTTAAAGAGAGAAATAGCTTTACCTGGTCTCTCCACTTTTATAACTTCTGCTCCAAGATCTCCTAAATTCATAGTAGCAAAAGGTCCTGCCAGGACTCTACAGTGTTAACAATGATAAATAAATTAATTAGCGTTGTGAAAATTTTTATATTAATTATTTTCTTAACAACCCATCAACAGACAAGCTCATGTAATGCTAGTAAGAATCATAACAGTTAAAACTGCAATTTGGACATATGTAATAGGAGCTTTAAAAATACCCCCTTTGATCCTAGAATTCTTTTTCTAGAATTTTATCCTGAGGAAGAAATCAAAACTGAGCGAAACATTTGTGTACAAAGAAGCCAAGTTTATAATAGTGAAAGACTAGAGGATGATTATGTAATTTATGTGACATTGATATAATAAAATACTATCTTATGTTTTTGTTGAATTGTGAATAACATAGGAAAATATTTTAAATATAACATTGTGTTTAAAACTGTAGTTTCAATATGGTTCCAATTTTTGTTTAAGATTACACACAAATATAAATTGGGAAAAGACAAATACTACACTAATTATCTCTTAGAATGATATTACAGGAATTTTTCTTATTTCCATGGTGAAAAGATACACATATATTTAGAATTAGCCAGCTGGACTCAGTTTAGATGATCTCAATTTTGTTGGCAACATCCAAAGAATCATAATCAGAATCCAGTCGAACATGTGCCTTCTTCTCTCCATCAGGCCAAATCAGGGTGTTGACCTTGGCCACATCAATGTCATAGAGCTTCTTCACAGTCTGTTTGATCTGGTCTTGTTGGCTTTAACATCCACAATGAACACAAGTGTGTTGTTGTCTTCTCTCTTCTTCATTGCAGACTCAGTGGTCAGCGGAAACTTGATAGCAGAGTGGTCCAGCTTGTTTCTCCTGGGAGCACTCTCCCAAGGATATTTGGGCTGCCTCTGGAGTTGCAGTGTCTTGGGCCCCCTGAAGGTGGGTGACATGCGGATCTTCTTTTTGTTGTGGCTGTGGACACCTTTCAACACTGCCTTCTTGGCCTTTAAAGCCTTCACTTTGGCTTCGGCTGTAGGAGAGGCAGAAAGCTTCCTTCTTTACTTTCAGCGCCATCTTGTGAACATGTGAAAAAGCTTTTTTTTTTTTGAGACAGTCTTGCTGTTTCACCCAGCCTGGAGTGCAAGAGTAAGATCTCAACTCACTGCAACCTCCGCCTCTGGGGTTCAAGTGATTCTCCCGCCTCAGCCTCCCAAGCAGCTGGGACTCCAGGCGCCCACCACTATGGCTGGCTAATTTTTGTATTTTTAGTAGAGACAGAGTTTCACCATGTTGGCCAGGCTGGTCTTGAACTCCTAACCTCAAGTGATCTGCCCACCTTAGCCTCCCAAAGTGCTGGGATTACAGGCATGAGCCACTGCACCTAGCCAGGAATTTTTCTTTTCTTATTTTCTTCTCTAAAATTTCAACATAAGCATATCAGTTCCTCTTATAAGTGAAAAAATTAAATGTTTTTGAGGAAAGGGAAAAATCCAATCACTAAAATGTAGATAAACCAATACAAACCTTGTTAAATCCAGAATTTTTACACCTTCCAATGGCTTTATATTCTCCATATCTGGCAAGACACAGAAAATATTTCAAGATAATTAATTACTGATTTTTATAAATTTTCACATACACCATTATAAGCTTGAAACAGATCACAAGGACTACAGTGATTCTTAGCATGGGAGTCCACAGACCACACAGCTATAGTAAAGCATACTGGAAGCTCAGCCAGATGCAGTGGCTCACGCCTGTAATACCAGCACTTTGGGAGGCCAAGGTAGGCAGATCACCTGAGGTCAGGAGTTCGAGACCAGTCTGGCCAACATGGTGAAACCTCATCTCTACCAAAAATACAAAAATTAGCTAGGCATGGTGGCACATGCCTGTAATCCCAGTTACTCAGGAAGCTGAGGCAGGAGAATTTCATAAACCCAGGAGGTGGAGGTTGCCGTGAGCCAAGATTGCACCACTGCACTCCAGCCTGGGTGACAAAGCAAGACTCCATCTCAAAAAAAAAAAAAAGAAAAAAAAAAAGGAAAGGGATGTTCAGGGAGCAGAAGCAAGGTACAGAAACAGCCAGTTGAGTGAGTTACAGCTCAGCGTTTGCCTTATCAGAACAAGGTCTGAACAGCTGGTGGCCTGTAAGCCTTTGAGGTCCGGCTGCTGGGACTGGCTGAGTCAGCAATTGTTTATTATTATTTTTGAGATGCAGTCTTGCTCTGTTGGCCAGGCTGGAGTGCAGTGGCACGATTTCAGCTCACTACAACCTCCACGTCCCGGGTTCAAACGATTCTCCTACCTCAGCCTTCTGAGTAGCTGGGATTACAGGCACCCGCCATCATGCCTGACTGTATTTTTGTGGAGAGAAGGTTTCTCCATGTTGGCCAGGCTGGTCTTGAATTTCTGACCTCAGGTAATCTGCCTGCCTCGGCCTCCCAAAGCGCTGGGACTACAGGCAGCACACCCGCCTGAGAGTTAGCAACTTTGTTATTGAAGTATATTCCTAAATTAGGTTTTCAGTTTGCTTACCTACTAAATTAGGTTGTGGGTTTCAGGTAAAAACTCAAGTATGTGAGTATGGAGGCTTTCTTAGTCCAGATTTTAGTTTGGTGAAAGAGAATAATAATGTCAATACTAAATAGTGATGTAACAAAATTTATGATTTGTCTGCATGAGTTGGGTGGAAAATTTTTTAAAAATTAAGATGTGGAAGGATGTAAAGTACATGAATATTTCTTCAAATGATAGTGAAAGAGAGCTAGTTTTTTGTTTTTTATTCTTTAGGGAGACAGAGTCTCACTCTGTAGCCCAGGATGGGGTGCAGTGGTACGATCTCTGCTTACTGCAACCTTCACCTCCCAGTTCAAGTGATTCTCCTGCCTCAGCCTCCCAAGTAGCTGAGATTACAGGTGCCCAACATGATGCCCTGCTAATTTTTGTATTTTTAGTAGAGACAGGGCTTCACCATGTTGGCCAGGCTGGTCTCGAACTCCTGACCTCAGGTAATCCACCCGCCTAGGCCTCCCAAAATGCTGGGATTACAGGCATGAGTCACTGAGCCCAGCCTGGAAGCTTGTCTTTATAGTGCCTAAAAACGAAACAAAAGAATCAATAACATAATTAGGTTATTTAGCAATTTGGCAGTAAAAAACAAAAGAATTGAAATTTGTTGTTTCTGGGCAAAGGAAAGGGGCAGAAAAGGGGTTATTCTTTTTCATAGGGGCAGGAAAGGGGGCCAAGGGGTTATTCTTTTTCATAATTAACATTGTAGAACTTCTGAACTTTTAAAACTAAGTATATCTAAAACTTTCGTTTTAAAAATTAATAAATTACATTACATTCATGAACAGGGTGAAGTATCATTCTGTGTCTCTCCTGCTATATAGCCCCCTGCAATGCTTTGATAAATAGTTCCACTCTGAAGCTTTTACTGACTCATTGTACACATGACAGCAGCATCACAGAGGAATTACAGTTGATCCTCAGATTCTGTATGTAGGAATTTGACTACTCACTAATGGCAGCTCTATCGCCCAGGCTGGAGTGCTCTACTAAAAACACAAAAAATTAGCCGGGCGCGCTGGCGTGTGACTGTAATCCCAGCTACTCGGGAGGCTGAGGCAGGAGAATCACTTGAACCCCGGAGGCAGAGGTTGCAGTGAGCCAAGATCAAGCCACTGCACTCCAGCCTGGGCGACAGAGCAAGACTCTGTCGCATTAAAAAAAAAAAAAAAAACGTCTCACCAGACTGGCAAACATTTAAAAGATAACTGACTATTCAATACTGGCAAAAGTGGGGTGAAATGGACACTTTCATATATTGTGGAATGTCAATCAATAACAATCTTTTAGGAGAGCAATTGATACTTTCTGTAATATTTTAAATCTTTTTTTTTTTTTTTACATTTCACTGAAAACTTTTTATTGGCCTTTTGGATAGAAATGGGAGTTTATTTGCCAGGAAAATAACCTTTAATTAAGTTTTCCTGTTGGCAGAATTTAATTCACAGAAACATTCTACAAGTATGCTAAGACACAGATATAAAAGTGTTCATGTTTCTGCTGTACTTTAGATGTCTTATAATCAACTTCATTTTTTTATTTAGAGAAAAGGTCTGGGCTTTGTTGCCCAGGCTGGAGTGCAGTGGCAGGAACATAGTTAGTTCACTGTAACGTTGACCTTCTAGACTGAAGCAATCCTCTCACCCGAGCCTCCTGAGTAGCTGAGGCTACAGGCATGAGCCACTGAGTCCAGCACCTAATTAACTTTATTGAAGAATGACTTACATATAATAATAATATATAATAAATTATAATATTCTTATCCAGGCATGGTGGCATGCCTGTGGCCCTACCTACTTGAGAAGCTGAGATGGGGGGATCACTTGAGCCCAGGAGTTCAACGTTACAGTAAGCCATGGTCACACCACTGCATTCCAGCCTGAGTGACAGAGCAATATCCTGTTTCTAAGAAAAACATACACACACACGCACAGAGTATATACATTATATAAATAAATTATGTTACATAAATAAAAATATATAATACATTATGTATAGTTTATATGATAGACTATATATTATTTCTATAAATACAATGAATTACACAATTAAGTAAATTTTGACAGATGTATACACCTGTGAAATCACCTACACAATCAAGAAAGAGAACTTTCCATCACCTAGAACTTTCCCCTGTCCTTTGCAAACTACCTCACCCTCAATTTTCAGCTTCAGATATCCACTGCTCTGCTTTCTGTCACTATAATTTAATTTTCATTATCTAGAATTTTATATAAATAAAAAACAGTATGTACTTTTGTGTCTGGCTTCTCTCCTGCTTAAGCATAATGATTCTTAGATTCATCCATGTTGTTGCATTTTTATGAGTATACGCTACTGTATGAATATACCACATTTGTTTATACACATTCAGCTGTTGACGGACATTGAGTTGGTTTTTAGGCTACAGTGAATCAAGATGCTATGAACATTTGTGTATAAATCTTTGTGAGAACATGTCTTCATTTCTCTTGTGTAAATACTTAGTGGAATGGCTGAGTTATATGGTAAGTGTATGTATAGCTTTTTAAGAAACTGCCAAAACAGATTTCTAAAATGCTTCCACCACATTGTATAAGAGTTCCATATGTTCCACATCCTTGAAACACAGGAATTGTTCATTTTTAATGTTAGCTGTTTGAATGGGTGTATAATGGTTTCTTGTGGTTTTAATTTGCATTTCACTGATGACTAATGGTGTTGAATATCATTTCATGTAATAGTTGGCCATTTAATGAAGCAAAAACTTTTAAACTGAATTCATTTAATATCAGGTAATGGAATTTTACTTTTATTATTTGACAAGAAACTCAGAAAGGACTTCTAGAACATGTTTAAGTCAAAATCAATGAGTGAGTTTTAAATCGTTAAGAGTCAGACTGCCTGGATTCAACTCCCTGCTCTACCATGTACAACCTGAGTGACATTGCGTGAGGTAACTCCACTTCTCAAAGCTTCCCTTTCCTCATGTGAGGCACCTGTCTCATAGAGTTTGCAAGTTTTAAATGAAATTTATATAAAGTGTTTAGTACACTCCCTGGCATAAACTAAATGCTCACTAAATGTTTGCAATTATTTTTATTTTTATTTTATACACACACACACACACACATATATATATATCTATATATATAATTTTTTTTTTTGAGACAGAGTCCAGCTCTGTCGCCCAGGCTGAAGTGCAGAGGCACAGTCTCGGCTCACTGCAACCTCCACCTCCCAAGTTCAGGTGATTCTCCTCCCTCAGCATCCCGAGTAGCTGGGATTACAGGCATGTGCCACCACACCCAGCTAATTTTTTAATGTTTTTGTAGAGATGGGGTTTCACCATGTTGGCCAGGCCGGTCTTGAACTCCTGATCTTAGGTGATCTGTCAGCCTCAGCCTCCCAAAGTGCTGGGATTATAGGTATGAACCACCGCACCTGGCCTGCAATTGTTATTATTATCATCATTATCATATATGTATTACACAGTCACACGATCTATTAAAGCAAATAACTTCTTGTTTGAAAACAAGAAAAGATAAACATATGATTATTCTAAGGAACAGGAAAAAATCATTTCTTAATGCACTACACTTAAAAAGGATATCTAGAGCCATATTTTGCCTATTTGTGAAAGAAATAATGGGCTGGGTGGGAGTAGGGAATGATTACAAGGCATAACACAGTTGGAAAAGGCATAAATTGTAATAAAATTTGTTGAAATATATTGAGCAGCTTGTATATCTCTCTGTCTTTTTGGCCTCTAGTATGGAAAGCTATTATGATGATACAGCTGGTCACCCATGCGAAGAAGTATAATTATAACGAAGCTGCCATCAATTCTATGCTTGCCAAAGCTGCTTGGTAGGACTCCCCTGGTACTTGGCTCTAGGGTTTCCATGACACAAATAAACTTGAGCAACACCAGAGCCGGGATAATTGACAGATGCCCATACAAGTGGCTCATCTGTGACAGGAATTATGGCATCTCTTCCCACCCGTACTAGCCAACTACTGAGA